ATGAGGGAGAGTATATAATGAACACATTAAAAAACTACCTGGCTAGCCATTTTTTTATAATTTTCCTGTTTAAAATAGGAGCTATGCCTTTAGTATAGGTCACAGAAGTAAGGGTACATTATCAAAGAGAGACAACATGGGTAAATTTAACAAGGTGTCATTATAGATAGGGGTGAAAACTGCTAGCTGAGGCAAAGCAGTTCTGCATAGATCAAAATTTATACTCCAGAGATCTAGTCCCTTGCCACCCATAAGAAAGAGTAATATTTTCCATCATGCCTTGTATTGAAGATTATAGATGTTGATTGTTCCAGAAGTAGCTAAACTGTATTGATTTGACTTTATATATTACACATTTGTAATTGGGCAATTTGTGGGTATATATTTTCATTGTGTACCATGTCTATTGATTGTATCTGTTCATCTATGCTAATAATGAAAATATCCAGTGAGGAGATATAACAACTGGCACTAAGGTGGAAGTGATAAGCTCATGTTTCTTGAAACATCTTTTTAGCACGAGTTCTAATAGGTCTTAATAATAAACACCCGGAGTCGGATATTAGGTGGTGAAAGCTGAAAGATCAGAGAATCAGAGCAGACAGCCACTAGAAGTTCTCACATCTATGAAATCCTCAGACTGAAAAGAGGCTGAACACCTACCTCCTCCCAACTTCTGCTCTATGCCCAGCCATATCACTTTCTGTCTATACAGACCTCCATACCTCTATGGTTAATTAGTGTGTAGCTCTGCCCTCTGAACTTCAGGCAAACTTTATTTGTTAGAGTAGGAACAAGAAATCACCACACATCTTAAACCACAAGCTACTTTAGAGGTCATGACTCATGGACTTATCCATGTAGTTACTGTAAAGAAGTCCAACCAAGCTTTTATTATTGATCTTAGAGGAATTATTAGTATGTAAAAGTAAGACTATGATTCAGTAATTGTAAGACATTTTTAAACTAGTTGAAAAAGTTTGCTTTTCGTAAATATACTGTCTCATGTCTAATCTCGCCACTTTCTTAAAATTCAGAAATTTGTTTAAATTTATACTGTTAATTAAAATGAGTTTATTTGAAATTAGAAGTAAAGTAAATGTTCTGAATTGTTTCATATTCAGCTTCTCATGTTCCTCCTAGCAGTAAGTGGTTCTGAGCTTCTGTCCTCTGTTTATAGCGACAGCAGTCTCCAGTGAACAGAATCCTGTTATCATAATTGCTGTGGTGGCTGTAGCAGGGACCATCATCTTGGTGTTCATGGTGTTCGGCTTCATCATTGGAAGAAGGTAGAGCATAGAGTTCTTGTAGGTTTTTGTTTGTTTATTTTCTGTTCAATTTTTCAAAACAGGGTATCACTGAGTACCTTTGGGAGTCCTGGAATCACTTTGTAGACCAGCCTGGCCTCCAACTCAGAGATTTGCCTGCCTCTGCCTCCCAAGTACTGGCATTTAAGGCTAGTGCCACCAGTGTCTGGCTTAAGTTTTTCAAGTATTTGGCAAAAAGAATGTTGATTCCCAAAAAGTTCCAACAAGTTATTTACTCATCTTATTTACTCATGTTTTTAGAAAATATGAGCATTTCTTTTCTGATATATAACATTAGTCAGTTCATTGTTTTTGTTCTCTCCAAATCAAAGTACACTTTGCATTTGATCACTGCCTTCATTTGAAGGTGGGTGAGAGCTATAATTAGTATTGGGTGAATGTGTATTTGTTACCTTCAGTTACTTTTCATAATAAATACAGAAGACCCAAAGGAGAGGTTAAATCTTTTAGCTGTTGTTTTTTTTTTCCCAACATTTGTGAAAACCATTTAAATATAAATGCAAATACTATTTGATAAATGTGGCACCAAAAAACATTTCCTGTCTTCTGGTCTTACACAAAGACTCTGTTTCCTGTGCATACTTTGATCATGTGCATTGACACGTTATTATCAAGTGGTTCGTAACTGAGGGCAGAATATATTTGTATTTGTTTATACCTCTAGCTAGCATGTTCCTACATAGCATTGCTCCTGATGCTGCATGTCAATCCATGAAACATGATCATTGAGTAATCTTACCACAAATTTACTTTTTTCCCCCAAGGCACTGTGGTTATAGCAAGGCTGACCAAGAAGGGGATGAAGAACTCTACTTTCATTGTAAGTGTTTCTGTCTTTTACTATATCCCAGTTTAAACAGAAATCTGATCATTGCTATTGGCAGCAGTGAATCCCTAATGCATCATGCTAAAAATTCTGTAATGCACTCAGAAATGTAAATCTATTCAGAAATGTCACATGACTTTCAGAATATTGAGGCACTTTCACGTCATAGGTTTTGTGTTTAGCAAACCCTGCCCAGATGTTGTCATCACTATAGTAGTGAACCATTAAAAGCAGCCTGTCCCATTTTCTAGTAAGGAGTGTCTTTTAAGTCAAGGTGGGCACTTGCTCCCACCCAGTGAGTGATGCTCCCAAGAATCACAAAACTCAGGAGAGTAATAGCCACTGAGTTGCTCCCACCCAGTGAGTGATGCTCCCAAGAATCACAAAACTCAGGAGACTAATTGCCACTGAAAGATACTTCCTGAGAAATAAAGAACATAATGTCAGTCTCCAATCCTCTGATGCTTTCCCAGGAATGTGAGCTACTTGGTTCTTAAATGCTCATGTTAGAAATCAATTCTGAATGAGGCCTATAAATCCAAAGACAATAGGAAAAAAAACAACAACATTATTTTGTTGCAAAATGAATGGCAAATGGAAATAAGGGATTTGAGAATAAATATCAATGCATTTTACAGGTGAATAAATACAAGCCCAGCATCAAATTATTTCAGTTCTAGAAAGCATATTATTCCTAGTTTTAAGCCTTGGAGATTATAGAAACCAAGTATTTTTATTCTCTTTTTAAATTTCTATACCTTTTATGACATCTCTATTACATAGATAAATTTCCTTAAAATGATATAATAGTTGCTTATTACATAATTGGCCATATTCTTTTTATAGTATCTAAGAAGATACTACAACACACCTACACTAAAGTTTTAAGAGTTTCTCAAATGGTATTTAGGAATTTTTAACCATTTTAGAATTTCCTCATAATTTTTAAGAAAAAAAAGCGCTTAAGCTGAAATTTGTGCATCAAATTGAAAATGCACTTTACTAAATTTTACTCCTTTGCATTTGTTGAAGCAACAGTCACTTTGACTTTAACTACTTTTAAAGAGGTCATTTTACATAACAGTGATCCAAATTGAATGTGAAGCTCTGTGGAATTCTAACAAAGAAGCCAGGAAGGCATGTTCTCCACAATTACTAAAGTAAAAGGAGAGATAACTTCTTCATGAAGCTTAAGCTTCAAGTACTCCCACTTTTATCAAACCTTTCCTAAGCTCTGGGATGTCCTGAGCCTTTCTCTATATAATTGTATGTGTATTCTCTTTAAGTTGACATCACAGGTCATATCCAGTTCAAATCTTACATGCCTTGAGTATACCTGCATCTATGTCATTCTGTTTTCTCACTCTGGTCCTTTGACTAATTTGCCAGTGAGTTCCCTATAAAAATCATCATTAATGAGAATCCCAGAGCCAGTTTATAGGTAGAAGAGAGGGAAAGTGCAGGGTATTTTTCCCTCTCTTGTGACAGAAAAAAAAAAAAAAAACCCTTCCAAAACAAGGAAGAAACCATTAAAATCTGAGTTCCTAAAATTGTGTTTGTATTGTAAAACACATACAGAATGAAAATAGAAGACCTGGAAAAGATTAGTGGAGTCTTTGATCATACCCATATGTGCACAACTTATTGGTGTAGTTACTTAATATCTCCCCACCATGAATATGTCACTTTTCTGCCATTTATTGGGTTTATCTAATAATTCTCAAATAATCAAATATACACTAGTTTGTTTGCTTTGAACTTGCAGCATGATGCAGAACTTAAATGGAAACAAAAGTTAACCAAACTCCTTGTCATCATTCAGTTTTAATATTTTGAAGCCATTCACCTTTGTCATGTTTTACATTCAGTTTTTAATCAGAAGCATTCAGAATTGAATGTCTTACTTGTTTATGTAGACAACATGAACTTGCTGTCTATTAACAGTTTCCATCTCTCTGGCAGAAATATCTGAGTGGTCTTGAAATATTTAACATTCATGAGAAATGCAAATAAGGTCTCAAAACACAAGCACACTAACATACACACATTCAAACGTGGACTCTTTGATGGAACAAAGAAATAAACTAGAATATTCAGAAATTATGTCAATATTTCCCTTAATTTAAAGCATGTACTTTTAGATGAATAATGAAAAGGTAAAGTGTGCTTAACATCTCTGTCCTATTGTAGCCTGTGTATTTTTGACATCCCTTTTCCTTAGGTATCCTGTAATTCGGTTTGAACCAGGCAGTGCATTTATTCTACTTTATGGCTTTATCTAAAAGACCTAGCTTATTTACACTCTGGTGTCCTTTTATTCCCCCAGCACATGGGCAGTCTTCACAGGTGCAGAGACACCAGATTTGATTTTTACAGGAACTTGGAAGCAATAATTTAACTGGCCCTGAATTTAACAGGATATTCAGCCATTGATAGCAGGTGCCCTGGGCTCCCCAGAGCCCCAAGTCTCAAATTTTCACATATAAATACAATGGAGGAGTTTAGTGAAGCAATTCCAATTTACATTTTGTTTCCTCCTACTGGTTCTTCTAACAATGTCTTAGAATCCAAGCTGGGTAGTATTTCATGTTTTTATGCCAAAACAGCTTTGGCCTGTCAAAATGTTTTATGACAGCTTGAATAAAGAACCATCAGAGACCCGTTTGAGATGCAGAAGGCTACTACCAATCTAGTTTCCTTATCAAAAACAAAAAGTGAAAGAGAGAATAAAAAGGGACAAGATGGCTCTTTCTCCAACTGCCTGACAACCTAGGAGGTTAACCTATTGTTTTCTTCCCTTTTCTCTCTCTCTTTCCCCTCTTCCTGTACTCCTCTTTTTTCTCTTTCTATCCCCTCTCTCTCTTTTCTTCTTGTGTTTTTTTTCATGTTCAGCTTTAGTAACAAATGAGCATCTGTCAGTTTTATAAACTGCAACAATAATTGTTTAAGACAATCAATTTTGGATAAACAATCAACAACAGCAGAATAAATCAAGATTTTTAAATCCCAGTTTTCCTTTTTACATTCCGCTTATTTTGTTGTTATATGTTCCTTTTTAAAATCTGATCTTGATTTAATGTTATGACATAAGCACAGTTAGGCTGCAGTGTAATATATAAAGACATTGTTCTGAGAGTAGTAAGATTCAATGGAAAGATTGTTTGGTGGCTTTGTCAAAAATAATAAAGACTTTTTAAGGATATAGTGTAATTTTCTTCATTGCATTAATATAACCAAATATGCCTACCTATCTTTGTCTTGAACCAAATGAGTAGATTTGGAATACTTTATTGTAATTGAATTTGATATAAAGTTGACTTAGCATTATCTGTTACCTGCATGCTTCTGGGTGCATTGAAAGATTTTAACTTTTAAGATGATACTATGTTGTTTGAATTTTGACTACCTTTTGTCAGGCATACTGGCTACCTCCTCGTATTAGCTAAGATCTTCCAAAGCCTTATAATGAAAAGTTCATATACATCATTTCTCTTTCAAATCACTGTCATACTTGGTAACAGATCCCAGGAATATTGTAAATTTTCTAATTTACTCTGCATTTTGTATATCCAGCTTCTATTACACTCAAGGTGAATATTAAACTATGTCTTTTGAATATTTCTCTTTGATTTTGTGATAGCAGTCCCTCGTATCTTGTACTAATTTATGTATATGTCAACAGTGGTTGGTCTTTAAAAATAAATCAAAGAATACATAAGATGTCTAAATGTTTTTAATATTGCTGTCAGTATAGTGGTCTACCTGTAAATGAAATGTCTTATTTCCTTGGTGTATTAATTTGATGGATTGACTGATTGATAGGTTTATCATTCTGTTTCCAAGTCCATTCCAACCCTCTGTCTGGCTTGAAGTAGATTATGATGGCTCTGAGTTTAATCAAACCTCCCGTCCGGTAGGAGAGGCACATCAGAAATTTCGGTGGATGTCTTTTGTTGATTTACTGGAAAAGCAATTCAGTTAGTAACCTATGAGTTGGATCCTATGCTACCTATAGAAGCTTGCAAATAATACCTAGACGCCAGCAGACTGGAGTAGTCTGTTAAAACTGCTGTGAATGAGGTGATGTGGAAGCAAGGTCACTATTCCAAGGAGCACTCTGCATAATGACAGTCCTGGGCTGACTGCACAATAAGTGCTTTGCTTCATCACAGTCATGCTTTCTTACATCATTACAGTTAAATTTCCAGGCACCAAAACCTACATTGACCCTGAAACCTATGAGGACCCAAATAGAGCTGTCCATCAATTCGCCAAGGAGCTAGATGCCTCCTGTATTAAAATTGAGCGTGTGATTGGTGCAGGTAAGGCTGTTGTAGCTTCCTTATTCAGCTGTTCTATTTAACCAAGATCGAAAGTCATATATCATAATGACAGCCAAATAATTATACTTCAAGTGTAGAACTCTTGCATTTACCTGAATGATTGGAAGCAACAGGGCTGTACTTGTTTATGAAGTCTTAAAAAAGAAATGGGAGGGAGCACCTAGTACAGAATGTGAATATATGTGATTTCAATGGGGTTCTAAAGGTGCTGTACTATTAGCTACTTCATAGTCACTCCTGCTGTATGACAATAATAGCTTAGAATTTTAAACATCAGGATTTTCTTGTATCTTGATGGAATGTGCTTTCCTATCTTTGAAACTGCCTTTTCTTCTCTTATATTTCTAACAATTAACCATTGTACCATTAACATTTATGTAGAAAATTCCATACCTTAAAAATCTCGAATATATATTGTTACTTAGACTTTTAAAAAATAGCAATGTTTGTAATTTGGTAATGTGCCCTGACACTTTAGTTATTAGATGTTTCCAATCTAAACGTTGACTCTGAAAGAGTGTTTGCTAATCAACTGACAAGTGACATCCAAGTAATAGATGCTTAGTGAGGCTTAGCTAGAATTAACAAAAGTGTGTCTCCAATTTTAATTTTGTTTTACCCATTTCAAAACTGTTTCATTGCCTATGGGAAATAAAAATTCACCATCAATTTTAATGCATTTATTTACACTTAGAAAAAATGTGTGATTAATTAAAACTTATTTTAAATATTTTAATCTATTTTATTTGAAAACATTAACAATTTCAGCAATTAAAACATGCCTGCTTGTTCTTTTACTTCAGGAGAATTTGGAGAAGTTTTTTTTCAGTGGCCATAAAAAGCATAAAAGTTGGTTACACAGAAAAACAAAGGAGGGACTTTTTATGCGAAGCAAGCATCATGGGGCAGTTTGACCACCCAAATGTCGTCCATTTGGAAGGGGTTGTTACAAGAGGTAGACACTAGTGCTATGCTTCACTTATTAAATAGGATGTGCTGGAAATTAGTAATATTGCACATACAATTAAATATCCAATTGTGAACACATTGCATTTCTGATTTTTATTGGTGTGTAACTAATAAAAACAATTATTTTTGCTGCTATGCACAAACAAGGGATTAGATTTGAAGAATGAGTCTCAGGGCTAGGATGACTGATTAATGTTTATATTTATCTTCAAAATTACAAAACTGGTGTGGCTCCTCTACATTTTATGTAAAGTTTCACTTTTTTATTATTGTTGCTCACAAGTTATAAATAAAAAGAGCAAGGCGTGCCTGTGGCATAGTGCAATTGTGACCACATTCCATATTGCATGTCTGCACCAGCTTAGTCCTGTGATTAGAAATCTTCCTTCCTACCCTCTCAGCTTCTCCAAAGGGGAATTGGGTTGGGTTTTTTTTTGGGGGGGCGGGGTGAAAGAATGAGAAATTCTCAAGTGTATTTCACAGATTGTGAAATACCAATTTCTCCTTTATTTTATTATTAGGGAAGCCTGTCATGATCGTGATTGAGTTCATGGAAAATGGAGCCCTGGATGCGTTTCTCAGGGTGAGTGCCCACATCAGTCTCTCACACCTAGGCATGTACCTGAGAGGGGTTCTAGTTGGTGAACTTTGTCTCACATTATGATGTGTAATGTGTAAACTGTATGAAGTCAGAAAATTATCTTTGAAAAATCACAGTTCTAGACTGCATTAAATTAGAATATTGAATAAAATGACTTATTAATATTGTTACTTGATGTGTAGAGGCTATTCCAAAGCTGTGCTATTTAAATGCCTATTACAGGATAGCAAATAATTAATGAATGATATGTTATGTTTCTATAAATTCTTAATTATGAACAACCATAGTTCTACTGTAGGAAGCTTGTCTATTCAGAAAATGTACATGCTAACATTTTCAAAACAGAGAGAGAAAATGGCTTGAGTGAGAATTCTTAGAATGTCCTCATTATGGTATTTACAATGACACCTTTAAGTCAAAGTTGTAAACAAGGAGAGGAATCCAAGGGATCCTAATTGTCAAGTCACTATGATAAGTAACAGGATCCAGGTGTTCTGAAATAACACCCAGGAAATCCACATTCTCAAACCCCTGTCCTCCATGTGGAAATGTCTGTTTCTGTTTAGAACTCGATGGTGGCCAGTTTGGTTGTGAACGTTTCTCCACACTGTAGGCTAGTAAAACATCTAGTGGTTGTTGAGAGTTGTTGTGGCTACCAGCAACACAACCAAAGAAATGAAAGAAGGTCAAAAAAGCTACTATTAATCATTTTTCCTAATTTCTCAATATTTTAAATCACAGTTTGACCCATTTTCTTTTTTACAATTTGAGAATAAACAATACATTTGTATTCCTTGTTCTATGGGTTCTTAGATTGTTTACATGCATGTTTTGCTATGTAGGGAATACTTATGCATCAGAGTTTATTTTTTGGAAATTCTATTTCCTAGCATCACCTGAAATTTTAGCATGTTCAGAAGTGGATATTTATTATAGCCAATTATTATCAGTTATCATGAAAATAATAAATGTGTACCAAAAACCAGATATTACCAAATATCTGTAAAGTTGTTGACTATCATCTCAAGCAACATATGCTATTTTCCCCACTAATTATCAATATTACACAGATAATTGACTAGCACTTCCTGTTGTACAATGGTAAATTACAAGCATGCATACATTTTTTTCTGGTGATTTTGTCCCCTTTGAAGTACCATTAAGTAGACTTTTTGTTTTATCTTCCTGCAGAAACATGATGGGCAATTTACAGTCATTCAGTTAGTAGGAATGCTGAGAGGAATTGCTGCTGGGATGAGATATTTGGCTGATATGGGATATGTTCACAGGGATCTTGCAGCTCGAAATATTCTTGTCAACAGCAATCTTGTTTGTAAAGTGTCAGATTTTGGCCTGTCCCGGGTTATAGAGGATGATCCTGAAGCTGTCTACACAACTACTGTAAGAAAACACCTATTATTTTACTTGTAATACTTAAGATATCCCATACAAGCAAGAAGAGCTTAATGTAAAACTAAACACCAGGGGGCATGCAAATTGACTTCAGCTTTTTTTTCTTTTGTGGACATTAGTATTATTATTACAATCTCCACATAAAACCAAAAGTAAGGAAGAAAAATGATAGCACCACATCTCATACTGGTATTTTACTGTACTAGAATTGTACTATGTAAATATTATACAGTTAAATTCGACATTATCTATTTACTAGCTTGTTATCACAATAGTAAATAGAATCATATTTAATAAAAATTCTGAAAGATTAAGTATGCTAACTCATAACTTTTATGATATCATGCAAACAAGAAGGCTTATGTGAAAATTTACTTAAATATCCCATTTTTCACTCCACTTTACTGGCAACATAGTCTAATTTATCATTATCTATTCATTACACTCTTGCCGTGACACCACACAAGGTCCATTAAGTACAGTTGCCTTAGAAATGAGCACATAATGAGAGCCTAATAGAAAGATTGGTGACTTTGAATACAGAGAGGTTCAAGGTTTACAGACCCGCTGCTGCTGGGCTGTCAACTCATGTAGAAATACTTAACATAGGTGGTGGTGTGCACATAAAGGATACATACAAAACTGAGCATATTTAAAGTGTCAACATCTTTTTATAACAGGGTGGAAAAATTCCAGTAAGGTGGACTGCACCTGAAGCCATTCAATACCGGAAGTTCACCTCAGCCAGTGATGTGTGGAGCTATGGGATTGTCATGTGGGAAGTAATGTCTTATGGAGAGCGACCTTACTGGGACATGTCGAATCAAGATGTAGGTGATTCACTGTACAGACAACACACACATTCACATCCACTTCTAGTGTAACATAGTTGATGGCTCATATGTATGTCTATAAATTTATACATGTCTATAAATTTATAAAAACATGACTTTCTAGCTTCCCATCATCATTAATGTTAATAATAATTATTGTCATGAATTCGAGATTTTCATGGTTTTATTTTTTTATTTAGAATCGTTACTTTCTCATTTTTAAATTTTAGTTCTATTGGAACAAGAGGATACTAAGAATGATAATTCCTCCTTAATGATGTTAATGTTTCAAAGGGAAGTTCTTAAAGAGTTGGGTAAAGCCGGGCGTTGGTGGCGCACGCCTTTAATCCCAGCACTGGGGAGGCAGAGGCAGGCAGATCTCTGTGTGTTCGAGACAGCCTGGTCTACAAGATCTAGTGCCAGGATAGGCTCCAAACACAGAGAAACCCTGTCTCAGAAAAAAAAAAAAAGAGTTGGGTAAAACACTGTAGCAGAACAGGAATATCTTAACTGCCATTTAGAAAAAGAATGCCACTAACAAATGAAGTAGAGTTGTTTCTCATAAGGTGATATAGGCATAGGCAGGATTAGGAAAAGGCTACAGCTAAAATTCAGGTATTTTCGTTAAATCAGTATCTTCGTAATTTAGAGTCTCCTGTAAGAAGTTCCTGTGGTTTTTAAAGTCACGTGCTGTCGTTCATTGGGGCACTTTGTGGTACTTTAGATCTCTGCATTAACTGAAAGATGTATGACTGGATAGAGGGAGGTTTTTAACCTTTTATAGTGTTTGGTATTTTGAATCGAGTGATAAGCTTTTCCCTGCTTTGGTTTTGTTTTGTTCCCAGAGTTTCAGAGATAAAAATCTAAATTATGCTTCCTTTTGGCAGGGGCAGAGTTGCTAATATTTGACAGGTTTCAGTGTCAAAGATTTCATGGACTGTCAAAATGTGGCAAACAAATCCTTGGGGCAGAGAAAGGGAATATTTACATCCCCAGATACTCCATAGAGTCTCATCTCTTTTGACACCTTCCTTTCATACTAGTTCCAAGCATAAAAGGATTGACAGGAATATAAGATGACTTAAACTCAAAGTTTACTTAACATCCAAAAATAACAAAAGTGTCTGAGAAGGAAAAAAGTTTCAATTTTAAGTTTAGAAATTACATTTTTGTTTTTCTTTAAAATAAATATCACAAGTAAAGAACTGTTACAACAAAAATATTCTGTTAGCCAAATAACATTATAGCTCAAGTGGGGTTTAGTTTTAACTTCAGTGTTTAGGACCAGCATTTTAACTTTTTCATCTTGAAGGTCTGAATTCAATTTGGTCATGGGTTTTTATAGTACAAAATATTATCTACATACTGAGTTTATAAAGAAAAATTTATATTGATATTCTTACTAGAGAATTTCTTTGTTTCATAGTTAAGTATTGATGTATTATGTAAGCAATTATGCTTCATTTTCAGTTTTGAAATTAAGATAAAAGTTATTTTTCTTTTCAAGAGGAAAGGTTCTCTATGGGAGTCTGGCCAAAGGTTTTAGCCAATGGGTAGATCTGTTGAATTCTCTGGTGCATAAGTGGCTTCTCTGTGTACAGAAATAGATTGCATTTCCAGAGATAGATACTCTAATGAGATTTTATCATGCATTTAAGTACACCATCGTTGAGTTATATCCACAACTCTCTGGATAGATTTATTAAGTGAACTGACTCACTTTGTATTGTTTAAAGTTTTCAGGTATGCATCTTTGAGGTTATTTTAGATGCATTGGATTCTAAAAGACTTCTCATAAGGCATCATGAAAACAAGATGGGAATTTACATTTATATTCCTAGGCAAATGTACAAATTCTAGGCTGAATGCAAGATGAGATGAAGTACTCACAGTAAGGGAATAGAAATGGGGTGGGGGCAAAGGAGTCAGTGGTTCTGGTAGCTGTCCTATCCTTGCCTTCACTCTGGACAGAGACGAAAACAAGAATACGAGACAAGAAAATAGGTGTATATACACAGCCAAACATAGTCAAACAGCTTGTCACTTCATAAACATTTGAATAACCATTTTTTATTTTCAGATACCTATAACTTTCTGGAATTTCAATGCAATGGAAGCAGTTTAACATGTGTTAATGAAATCAAAAGCTTAAGCTTTCCCAATCTATTTCCAACTTTAATTTTTCAGAGAAGTATGTAGACATTTATCTGTTTTGTTTAATGGCTTTCAAAGAAAAATCATTATGTATTTACAAGTGATATAAGGAGAAATACAAAGTTTGAAAGCATTCCTTGGACTTCATAGAAGTTGTTTTTTTTTAATTGTACTTATTCTTGATTGGTCAAAATGAAAAATTTATTTTCAACTGATGAAATTTTAATAGTACTATATAGTTCTCTTTCTTTTAACAGTACTTGAGAATGTGTTTTGTTTTTACTTTAATCAAAACACAAAACAGATAAGTTGTCCATTTCACTGGAGGTAGTTAAAAGTGTGATTTTAATATAATAAACTTTCATAAAAGTGATTTCTTAAATCCATCTATTAAAAGTTCTTCTAAAGACATGCAGAAATGTGTTAGAGATCTAGAGCTCTTGCTACTCTTGCAGAAGATACAGGATCAGTTCCCTGCATGCACATAGGGCAACTCACAAACACCTGGAACTGCAGTTCCAAGATTCTGACACCCTCTTCTTGCCTCCACAGATAAACATTGTGCACATACAGACAGACAGGCATATGTCCATACAGTAGAATAAAAAAAAAGAGCTTTGAAAATATAATACACATATGCCTAAACTTATTTGGGGGGTGGCAATTTATTAGCCTCTAGCTTGCATATGTTTTAGTGTGCTATTCCTAAGAGAGAGCATACATCTTAAGGAAAAGTAGCCTAAATTGTCAAGAACACTAGCATTTATTAAAGTCAGTTCTTTGTTTAACTATATCTGCCTTTATTTTCTTGGGAAAAAAAAAACCCTCAAGGTCAGTTTTGTAAGGTTTCCAGAAATTCATTTTTCTTATATTTTAAATTTTATTTTGTCGAGTCCACCCTTGACCAGCAAGAACGATGCAACACCGAGGAATCTTCTTCTCACAGTTTTACTGGGAAACTTGATTTATAGGGAGTGGCCCCAGTCTTGGAAGACGGGGCCTGATATAGCCTACAACTACCAATCACCTAACCCTACGTGGCGCGCCTGGATAGGTTGTCTCCAAACAGAATTAAGAGGATACGTGGCCTTTACCAAATTAGGAGTTGTTTACCACAGAGAGCACTCACCGTCGGGCTGGCGGGAGGCGGAAACCGGCGCCATCTTTTAGGCGCAGTACTCTGCATTTCCCAACATTATTTGGGGATTATAAATTATTTACAACATTTATCCCTTTCCTTTTCTCCCTCCAAACCCATACTCTCTTTCAAATACGTGGCCTCTTTTTTTATCAATTGTTATTACATGCATGCATTTATAACATATGCACATATGTTCCTAAATACTTGGATATATGTTTTCAGGGCTGACACTTTAGCACGACACAACCAATTGGTGTGCTCTTCCATGGGAAAAGTCTCTTCTATTCTTAACTTTCCTCCATTACCTGTAGTTCTTTGTGTAGGGATCGGGAGTCATGGGCTTTTGCCCATCTATTGTGGCATGTTCATTGGTGTCATACTTGTTCAGTTCATGTTTGAGTAGTCATGTTGGTGAAACTTTATTTTTGTGTGTGTTGGGGGGAGTATCTACTGACATTACTAAGAGAGACAATCTCACAACAGTCCTCACAGAGGACTCCCTGGTTCTCTGTCTCTGGCAATCTTTCTTACCCCTCTTCCACATGTTACCTGAGCCTTAGGTATGGGATGGTTTTGTAAATGTATCCTTTGTGACTAGCCTGTACAGCTCTGCAGTTTGATTGCTTGTATCTTTGTATAGTGATCTCTGTCTGTTGCAAAAATAAGTTATAGTTATTGGAGGAGAAATTGCAACCACTAATTTGCTTAATCAACCTAATTCCTAAAAACAACCTATGAACATTTGTCTTTACACTCTCAGATTTCTCTTAAATTTTTAACACTATCATGTTTGCCAGTGTCAAGGGTTTATATTTCTCCTTGAGTAATATTGTTAATTTGTAAAGCCGTTGGTATTGCTTACTTTCCTACTATCTTCCCCATGTTATCCAGATTAATAATAACTTTAGATTTTCATATAACTAAGAATATTGGTGATAAGAAACTTAAGCTCTCTAATGTCTTTACAGAAATGTTTTTGCAAATCTATTTTATGTTTTTAATTAATATTCAAACTTAATGCAATAATTCCCCCTGGATGTTAATTTTACATAAATTGTGGTAAAAATTTTAAAGCAGTACTATGAATCATTAAGCCTTGACTAAAAACTCTTCTCAGTTTTCCACTATAAAGCTTTCTCTATGCTTGTTGCTTTGCACTTTCTACTGTCAGGTAGGTGAATGTGGAGGAAGGAAGGGATCTAGCCACCTCTCATGGACCATAACAAACTGTGTCCAGGAAGCTCTTGCATCACATTTACCAAGGACAGTAACCGTTATAGTTATTAATGAAATAGTATGTTTAACATTCTGTTCTGACACAGCACATTCACATAGTATGATCTCTTGCTCTAAAAGTGTCATCAGCACTCATCAAGAGATGAAACTCTTCGACTTACTCAGTAACTCAATTTCCTTTTCCACTGTCATTATGTTTTACGTCTATGCACATGTGTATTCTTGAAACTATATTCAGCTAAGAGAGTTCCATAACATGTCCTGTTTTGAAAACCTCTGGGGTGGCATTAAA